CGTCAAAAATTTGTACATACAACACGTACCAGTAATCATGTTATCGTATGTGAAATACGGACATAGTATCTTCTAAATTAATTAATTAAATTTAACATTTAAAAAAAATATTGTTTTTTCCCATTTGAAATGCCTATAAAAAAAAACATTTACAAAAATATTGATTTGTTTTTATTTAGTATCGATATCAGATTTATTTAAGGGCTGTGGTCGTTGAACCCCCTCATGCGACAGATGGGTTTCATATTATATCAACTTTGACTGTTGTGCAACCAACAAGTACAAACTGAGACTTTCCTAAGCTTTATAACTAAGTAATTTCCTTGGTGATTGGAAGGCATTTGAGTAACTGGTTGTAATTAGTACAAATTGTATCCAGGTCAAAACTCGTACTTATGATTTCCATTAGAAGAGAGCATTGGATTGTGGGAAAATCAATGTCAATCAACACAAATATCACACATGCTCAGCCTGAAACACCCAAATAATTTTTCTAATTTAAAAAAAAAAAATGATGAAATCATGTCACTTTAGTAACAAATTAATGATACGTGTCCTGAAGAGGAACATATACAATTTTAAATGGGGGAGGGCCACTGGATGGCCAGGGTTAGGATTAGAGTTATGGCTCTGGAGGCGCTAAGGAACTCTTACTATTACTTGTTATTCATTAATAACTGACTCATTAATATTTGTTTCTCATGAAGTTAAATTTTAATTTATAAATATTACTTACATTTCAGATTTAAGATGCCCGGCAAAGTGATCTTGGTGACTGGTGGTACTGGTTTGGTCGGTAAAGCCATTGAACAGGTATCAAAGACCGAATCCCTACCTGATGAAAAATGGGTCTTTGTCTCATCTGCAGATGCTGACCTTACGTAAGTAAAATTACACAAAAATACACTTTGAAATTTATCATTTTAGTGAATTTGGCTTGATGCAGAAAATATTTAAGATAGCATCTTGTCACAATACAGTATATGTACTGTACATCTTGTGTTTATATCATTTTATTCATGCTACCTGAAATTAAATAATGAAAAAGTATACAAAAGTCGCTAACTGATACACCTGCCAAAAAACTCAACCCTGCACAATACAACTTTCCTTGACTCAAAAATCTTGAAAATGTGTTTGTGATAAAGAAAAAATATTCAAAATATATAAAACCTTTTATTTTCACATGCAGTTAATAGTGTCACCTGTTTGGTGTTTTGAGCAATTTCACTTGGGTTTAAATTCATGAACTTGGCAGAGAAACAATGAGTGCTATTGTTATTTTACATATTTATGTAAATTTAATTAAGTTACTGAATATTGAATGGAAATTTAAAAAATTAAAAACCACTGATGCATTTTTTGTAGACTGAATCATTAAATTTTGACTTTATATGAATACTGTTTATTTACAAAAACGTATATGTTACTAATAGAGTAAATACAATAATTCAATATTACTCTGATGATGTACCTATGTTTTATGTTTTACAGATCTGAGGAGAGTACTATGGCCTTGTTTGAAAAGCATCACCCAACTCATGTTATACACTTAGCAGCCATGGTTGGTGGACTCTTTAGAAATTTGAAATACAATCTAGATTTCTTTGTAAGTATTATTATGAGGTTATTATGTACGAAAGCATTTTGGCGTTCGTACCGACCAAAGTATAGTGGAGATACAAAATTATAACAACAAAATAATGTTTTGCCCAGTTAAATTTTCAGCGTTTTGAACTGTCGCTTGTTTTTGCTGCTTTCAATTTTGAGGGCATTTGTTGGAAGGTAATTATTACACACATTGTAAGACAGCGGCTCTAAAAATCACAAATAAAATGTTCGTTACTACAAACATTAATGTTGCATTTTATACTTTGCAGCAAAATTTCAAATTTAAACCAATACATACTATATTTGCATCTGTCCTAGAAGAGCACATCATCCAAATAATATCTAGGACAATGGGCACATGTTGTCTAAAATACTTCATCCTTTGCTATATATATTTATTGTAGAGATTATGATAAAATCATGTGAAATTCTGTCTTTCTATAATTTGTGCATACTATAATAATAAATGAGTCAAACCAATTTGTGGTTTTCAATCAAACTAGATTTCAGGTAAAATAAAGTAAGCCATATTATAAAAATATTATAAACTGGTTCTGTAAAAATACAAAAAAAAAATTGTTTATTATGCACATTACACTGACGAGCTATTTAATTAGCTTTTTTCTATTTTTTTTTTTCAAGTCAGTCTGAATAAATTTTGTTCATCTGCTAAATAATACAAAAAAATGCATACAAATTTAGCACCACAATTTTGGCTGGCAAAATTACAACATCGATGGCTTAAAAAAAAAACTCCATTAGATAATTCTTTACACATTCATTCATACATTTGCATACATTTCATACTTGCTCATATACATAATTTTTCTGCAGTAATCTTTAAAATTGGAATAGATTTTCAGCTTGTTAAAATTGTGAATTGGGCTGCAACAGCTGCTGCAGATATCTCATGTTTACTATAATCCTTTTTGTCCATCACAAAGTATACATATTTTTCATCAACATTAACCAAGGATTTTGTAATTCAGCCTCTGAATCATTGTTCTCCAGGTTATCCCCTGCTTGAACTAAAATAAGCTAGCTGTATGCACAAAACTCATAATTTAGGGGGAAATATTTCAAACAATAAATTAATTTTATCTTTTTCATATTTGTCAATAAAATATTTTTTTTGGAGGAAGATGTAAAAAACAAAACAGACAAACAAATTTTTAAAATAAGTGTGACCCCTAAATATTTTTCTTCATAGACAGGTAGTTCTATGCAATGTTGATATATAGTTTGGATATCAAAATTTGAAAACTGGGAATAAATTCAAGTTTGTTTATCTCAAAATTTCAGTGTACAGACTAGCATAAAACACTATAACCGTTACCACCTGTTCCCTCTTTTCATTACAAATTCACAAAAAAGTCCTGTTTATAGTCTGCTCTTTCCTTCAGACGATTGGAACAAAATTAGCCAAATTTTTTTGATTAAAAATTGAAAATTGACTCGAATTTTGTCTGTTGGCTCCATAATTGGGCTTCATTTCCAGTGAAAAAAGTATGGAAAAATTTGGGCGTGAATGTCTGGTGATGAAAAAGATAAACATGCCATGATCTTCAATCATGCAGGTTCGTTTGACCAAACTCGTGCCAAAAAGACAGTTATAGGGTACATTAGACAAGTGGTCTTTATATGCACCCTGTAGGGTAGTTACAGGCATGTGGACTGTAAAATACTTTATTTTAGCTGTAACCAACTTTCACTGAAAAATCTTCTTTGGGTGTTTTGTATTGAGTTTAATTTTACTGATTTTTGATGCGTTCAATGTAAAATATAGGAAAAAAGGTATATTCATTGAATTTTATTAATAAATCCTTTAGCAAAAAGAAATTCCAAGCAAAAATAAGTATTTTACAGTATAAAGATGGCAATTAACAGGTTTGACTGTTCTCTCATTTTTAGTATTATATTATTGTAGTTAAATTTGTTTTGTTTTTAAACCATAAAATTGCTATGACCGCAAAAGATGGTCATTAAATCATTGTATGCAGTATAAATTGCAGTCATAACAAACAATGGAAGGATGCCTTCATATCATTTAAAATCGGTATAAATAGTAATTATTAAAAAAAATAGCTTGAAAATTGATATGAAAATACTGTTTAGTTTACATTTAAATTGTTTAAAATTTGTCTACAAGTTCAAAGTCATTGTTCAGATTATTCCAAATAACCGTTGCTTGGCATTTATAAATGAGTGCAGAGCAATTATAACTATCAAAAATCCTCCACAGGCCTTGTAACCACAATCCAATCAGAGAACTGTTAATGATTATTGTAAGGGAGTGGGGGGGGGGGGGTCATTGTTACTTCACTTTAAAATTGTCCTCATGATAACCCCCAAATTATTAAATAATAAGAATTTCTGTTAGTGAAAAAATTAACTTTTACAGTTTGTCACATACTGCATTTATAATGTAAACTACAAAATTTTCATTTTCCAGCATGTTCTATTAATTTACTGTGAATACTTTATTTTAGCTGGAATTAATTTTCGCTGAAGACATTTTGAGTATTTTGTATGGAATTTATTTTCACTGAAAATTGACAAGTTGAATGTAAAATGTAGGAAAAAGGGTATATTCCCTGGATTTTATTTTCACTGAATCATTCCTTCAGCGAAAATTAATTCCAAGCGAAAATAAAGTATTTTACAGAAGCACATATTTAGATAATTTTAGAAAATTTAGATCATCCCAAGAATTGCTATTTTATTTGCTCTATTAGCAGCGGTGCTTACATAAATGAGAGCAGTATGTCTATGGCCAACATAAGTAATATAGATAATACTGTAAAATGACTAATTTTCACTGGGTTTAAATTTTACTGATTTACCATTTCAGGCATATTCAGTGGGTTTTAAATTCACGGTTTCGTCATTTAGATAATGTGTTCTATGCTAAATTTTACATATTCACTGGGTTTTAATTGGGCGCATTTTCGAGTCAGCGAAATAAGCTAAATTAAAACCCAGTGAATAATTACCCCCTTTACAGTATACGGTAGTATACAATAAATGCAATTAATGGTTTAGACCCGCTTCTAGTAGTCTAGACTAAATACCGATTATCCCAAGTTTTTTTGTGTTTTTTTTTGTTTGTTTTTTTGTGCCAGAGACAGTTCCGGACATTGAATGTCACTGTTGTCTCTCCTTATTTTTTTTTCTTCTATTTTGTAAGTGCAAATTGCAAGTGCTAGTGCTGACACATAGTGCATTTTTCCACAGAAGTCATTTCCTGTTTGAGACTACATGACAGGACTGTGTGGCAATCTCCCTATCAAATGGCAATTTTAATGCGCTATCCTGGCATCAACCAGGCTCGGTCAAACAAAAGCACCTGCGGACCTTAACCAAGGTTCCCCCAAAGTCGCATTCGTTAGTGAATGAATCTCGGCCAGTGGAATTGGCCTTCCCATTGAGTCTGTAGCACACTCACCCAGGGTAGGGGTATATGTTCAACCTAAAGTAGGATTTGAACTTGGGTCTACCGATCATGAGTCTGATGCGACAACCACTATGCTACCAGTGACCGGTTATCCCAAGTTAATATGCATCATTTACGGAATATATTTGAGTTATACGAGATATTTGTTAGAATACCCCCTTAATACTTTAGAATGCCAAAATTAATTTTTGTTGGGCATCCACAAGAAATTGGGGTGGGGCATTCAAAGAGATGAAGCTTGTTTCAAATTACTGTGGTCCAAAATAATTCAAAGATGAATCTTCGTGAATCTGTCCACACTGTTCAAGAGTAATATACATGTAATTTGATTCAATACAAAGCTTAAAATTTAGATGACTCAAAAGTCATTTAGTGAACATTTCATTTATTCAATCTATCACATATTTCACATAATCCATTTATAAATATCATTTCATTATACAAAGGGAAGGGAATTAACCATTTTACCACCAGACTTTCTCGTCTTTATTATTTTACACTTTTTTCTTATATTCTTCAATATTTCTGGAAATGAACCCTAATTTTGTAGCCAACAGACAAATTTGAGCCAATTTTGAGTTTGTTTTTTTTTGGCTATTTTTGCCCCAATCTTCTGAAAGAAAGTGAAGACTATAAACGCATTTTGTGATGAAAAAAGGGAATTTGTGGTGAAAAGGTAAAATTTTAAATGTGTTTGCTCCACAGAGAAACAATATGAAGATCAATGATAATGTTTTATATTGTTGTTACAAAACTGGAGTTGAGAAATGTGTGTCGTGTCTCTCGACGTGTATATTTCCTGATAAGACCACGTACCCAATAGACGAGACGATGATTCACAACGGCCCACCACATGATTCCAACTTTGGATATTCCTACGCTAAAAGAATGATTGATGTTCTCAACAAGTAAGTACAAGTTAATAAAAAAGTGAGAGACATTTCACTCATAAAGCAATTTATTTTTCCCCTTTTTTAATTGCTTTAAAGTACAACAGCCTTGCATTAATTTATGCATCTCAATTTTGTGAATCTAAGAAACTGTTGTTGAAAATTAAAGTCACTTCTAACATATTTGTAAGTGCATGATTTTTAATACCATATATCACTCTTATATCATAATTTATTATTAATTGGTATTTTTTGGATTTAATTATTTGATGAATAATATTTACTGAATCAATAGTCTGATATTGGTCTTGCATACACACAAATTACCATAACTCTCTGTGTTCAATTGTTGCTATATAGCTCCTGATTGAATTTTTATATTTTATTTCCTGATTGAGTTTTATTTGCTGTTAGTTGCAACATCAACACTGTCGCCTTCACAATCGTGCTGTTAAATGTTTAAAAAATATGTCATGCAAGTCAGTGATTTTAATGATTTTTTGTTTATAGAATTACTGGTACTTCTAAATACGCCCTTCTAAAATTCAAAATTTGTACATAAATAAGTCTGACATATATATGTCTGACAACCTTGTATTATTCATCGCTTAGCTATATACTTGTTATAACATTCAAAAGACGAGATAATTATAGAGATAGTTAAATGTAATATTTTAGTGATTTATTCATTCTTTAGAGTCGTAATTAGTAGTATGTGTTTCTTTTTCTCTGTAAGAACACCTCTACCTATGTGTTTTTAAATATTGTATGATGGGTTGCGGCCCAGTACTGAATGAAGATTGATTGATTGATTGATTGACAGTACTGTTGTTTTTTTAATAAAAAATCAATGTATTTGTGTATATAATTTATTCTAGGGGATACAACACTCAACATGGTTGCAAGTTTACCTCCGTAATTCCAACTAATGTGTTTGGACCTCATGATAACTTTAATTTGCAGGATGGACATGTGATACCTGGTTTGATTAACAAAGTCTATTGTTCAAAAAGTAAGTTTTTTTGTTTAATTTAACAATAATGAACAAACTACTGAGCCATAGATAACCGATGCAAGATACAGTAAACCATACAGTAAACCATTTAAATTTCACTACTGGAAATTTTCATAATTTAACGATTTTATGGCATTTGTAAATTTTCATAATTTCCAACAATAACAACTCTCTGCTGTCTCATATCAAAACCATCAAAAAATTTATAAATAAATAAATAAAATTTTATTGTAATATTACCATCTATTCAGTGTACTTATTTTACTTTTGTCTCGACTGAATTTTCTGTTTTTACTTTTTTATTATTATGATTTTACACTTTATTGTAATTTTATCTATATCTCAACAGAGATTCGATAACAATAAAGTTATTATTGTTGTTTTTGTTTTTTTAAAGTTAAAGCAGTTTCTAATAGTATGCACATTGTATATGAATAACACTTGTCTGTTACTCACGATTAACAGACCTTGAAAGCAATCTACTGTTGAATTCTCATGGTGTGTGTCTTAAAGGGAAACTGATACTATATATAGGGGCAATATGGCCACCGCAATCAGTATGATAATCCGAACCAAGCCGCTCACATAGTGGCAGGAGCTCCGGGAAATGTGCCATTTACGATGTTTAGAGATCAATCCGTGATTCTAAATACATTTCTATGGGGGCATGAATATGTACGCTTGCGATTACACCCATCTGGTTGGGCTTTTGATGTATAAAGTTGTTGTTTTCGGTTGAAACATGTCGCGACAAGTAAAAATCCTGAGTTTCAAATCACAGTTTGAGTACCGGGTAAGTGAGCATAATGGACTGAGGCGGACTTAATCCATGGGATTGAGCGGTTCCCCTTTAATCATATATATACTGTTCTCGTAATATATAGTATATATTATATATAATTACCGGTACACAATATTTGTTCCTGGTTTGATGTCAGCAGACACAAGTTATTACTGCCAGAGTTTTGTATCAATCTGAGCCACAATTGGTAATCACAAGTGTATGCTGATTTAAGAGAAAACTCATCACTCCAAATAATATATTGTATCATACTTTTGAAGGTAGTTAGTAATGGGAGTGGGTGCCTATATATTTAATATCAAGAATATAGAAAATAAATTTTGCAAAAATGCTAAGAATGAAAGAATCATTACTTGAAACAATAGTAAGAAATAATTCATTCATGCGAAAATCTTCCAAATGTATATTTATTACATGTGCATATTTTCCACAGTACCTACCACAAAGTGAAATGGTAGAATGTTAACAGTGGAACTATTGCTGACCTGACATGGAATATAAATATATTATTGAACACCTTTCATATGCTAATTTTGTTGACACCACAGAGTTCTATTTTTCACAAACGTGAACTGAAAAATTTTTGAGCAGTTGTTTGAAAAACTAAATTCTTACATAACTTGGAAAGAGAGCCATTTGCATCTCTAACCTAACCCTTACTTTACCTTTACCGCCTACCCTCCAGCGCTTCCCAATTCAATGTTTGTCCCAATCTTCTAAAGGGGGATGCAGATTATAAACAGGAATATTTTGTGAATTTGTGATGATAAGATGGAACTGGTGGTGAAAAGATTAATGAGACACTGGTAGTATGGTATAATTTTATTTATAACTGACCCTGGATTTACTTTTTGCATTGCAGAAGAGAATACTCCTTTTGTTATCTGGGGTACAGGATCACCACGTCGTCAGTTTATTTATTCATTAGACTTAGCCAGACTGTTTCTATGGGTATTGCGTGAGTATGATGAATCCTCTCCAATTATTCTCTCTGTTGGTGAAGATGATGAGGTTTCAATCAAAGATGCTGCTGAGATGGTCGTGGAAGCTTTTGAATTCAAAGGGGAAGTAGTGGTATCCTTTTGATTCTGTCTGTCTTTGATTTGAAATAAGACAAGATGAGATAGCTGTATAGTAATGTGCTCTTGGTTCAGTGTAGTTTGTTGTATCAAGCTGAACAAAACTTTTTTTTTATCAGTTTTACCACAACTGTCAACCCTCTGTTGGGTATAGTTCCCGCGTATATGCTGCGTATCTCTCGAGTACTTCTTGGGTACAGTGCATCCAAAAACTAGTTTGGTTCACATCTTGAAAAGGATAATTTAAGGTAGATTGCTAGTATTGAACATAATAAATAAAGTACCTACCGGTATTCTATAACTATTGGTACAAATCATTTCTTCTTGATATGTAATGAAATGAATGTGTCAAGAATTTGTACTAAAAATGGCACAAAACGACTATTTTATGGTTTTTTGAACTGTGTTTTGTGCCATAAGTCATTTAGTGACCATGCATCTATATATTTTTTTCTGAATTTAGTGAACAACATATAATAAAACCATATTGTAAACGTCAAGGAAATCTGATCATTTAAGGCTGTAGCTAGCACACTCATTTCTTTGTGATGTACATACTCTCCCAGGTGGAGGTTTGAATTTTACAATTACGAATCGTGGATCCAACCACAAGGCCTCAGATGATTGGTAATTAAGAGCAGACTCCTTACTGCTACATGTACTACAGAAATGTCAGCGTTAATTCACTTGTGCAGAATTAACCTTATCGGTAATTAAAAATAGCCGTTCAGAAAGCCACAAGACTTGTTTTTAACACCCCCCCCCCACAAATAGTGTTTGTTTCCTCAACGTTGCTGCATCTACTGTTTGCCTGGCCATGAAAACCATAGTATTCAAAAATGGAGCACTTTTGGGGGGAAAAAAACAATCTTTGGGGTCTCTTTCCCGCAACAAGATCTTGGCACTGCCTGTATGTAAGGTATATTAACATTTTCGATACATGGAGCACTGTTGTAGTTACGTGACTCATTGCCTTGACAACCATTCTAGTATGACACCAGCAAATCTGATGGTCAATTCAAGAAGACTGCCAACAATGGCAAGTTGAGAGAACGCCTACCAGACTTCGAGTTTACCTCAATCAAACAAGGTGAGAATACAAATTCACAAATTCATGTATGATTTGAGAATTCAGTGCATCTTTTTGGCTGGTGTAGAATTTGTATCTACTCCCCAAAGCGAAAGAGTTGTTACCTGCGTACATGCAGAATTTGAGTCCTAAGCATGATGCAAATGCAAAGCCTCATGGGTAGACACTTATTTGTAAACAACATGATATAGCAGTCTACCATAAATATCAACTCTTTTTTTATTTCTGCAAACCATCTTGAATCAACACTCTAAACGCATTTCTTGGGCCACCTTTTACAAATAACATTCCTGGGAGATTGGAGACAGCAGCGAAAACGAAATATTAAAGTGTGGTGGTCATCACGCAGCGCGTGTTCGAATTTCATGTAAATAAACAATGTATTTTACATGCGTCCCTTATCGAACAGGATAAGGCACGATGACTGCCGCCCTTTAAGTCCAAGAATTTAAGTGCTGACTATTTAACCCTAAATCTACAAAATGTGTCTCGCAAAAATTCCAGCCTTTTTTGTGTAAGGCGCCCTCTATTTATGGATACCAAATCTAACTACAGTGTGAAGCCTTTAAAACTTGTATGCAGACAAACAGTATTGACACTGCCCTCTGTGTTGGATTGTTGAATTATATATCTTGTATAGTGCCCTCTACATAATGAATGTGATTTTTTTCTGCTTTTGTTTTTTTCAGCAATCAAAGAGACTGTTCAATGGTTCATAGACAATTATGAAACTGCACGCAAGTAAAGTGGCCCAAGAATCTCTGATCCGCCAATCTAATATGGTGCTATCATGATCATATTTATTAGAGCAACCTGTTCAATTCTTTACATCTAAAGAATTTTGTATACTTTGGGTCCTATTTTTTTTTTAACAGAATCAAGGTATATTTACTGAACGGGGTGGATTGTCTTTCATTCAGTCCTATGAACTGCACAGATTCAAACGGGCTAACATATCTGTATATGTTATGTTTAATTGTTGTATTGCCTTAGACACAGTTAGCCATTAAATGTCTGAAGTGAAAGAACCACATGTCTTGTTTTTTGCCTTTCAAATAGTGCTTCCTTCATTCAATCTTGTTGGCTGCTTCAAACACATATACCAAGATAGTTTCTATAGGAGAACTATAGACGCAATGACCTGAGAGAATGAAAGAATTTTTGAGGTGTAAAAACAAGTTTCAGACTCTTGTTCTCAATGAGATCTTAGCGGCCGTTTGCATCCAGGGTATTTTACATGAGTTACCGTATTAGTTTTACATTTATCATAAAGGTTGCAAGGTATAGTGGGAAATATGTCTGTCATCATTGTGAATATGATCTTGTGGGTGCCGTCAGTTTTTATCTTAATATTTTCAACCTTGGATATATTAAAGGGTGGTGGTCGTTGCGCAACGTATGTTCGCATTTCATATAAATAAAATATGTATTTTACATATGTTATACACGTTGCTATGAGTCCCATATCGAACAGAACATGCTGTGACGACCGACAGTGGTATTTAACAGTACAAAAGCTTGTTCAAGCTTATTTTTGGTTAGCCTTGCTTGAATAATTTAAGAGATAAGATCAAAAAAATGTCTAGCTATTAAAATTGCCTGTTTAGTTCAAAACTTATTAGCTGCCTCTAGACAAAGTGTTGTCTAATTTCTTATTGGTCAACCACTGGAGTACAGTTAAAATATTGGGACTTGCCCCTAGAATTTGATTAATGGTAACTAAACACTATTTGATTATTGTTTATAGTGCATGTACTATTCTGTTTGGGAAGTCATGTTATGAACTTTAGACTGAAAAGTTTAGTAATGCATTGCAGTTGAATATTTATTTATAATTTGTGTGGTGAGAAGGGTTGGTCATTCAATTTCCAGCTTTCCTTAACATTATGCGATCTTCAAAGACTAAGAATGATCTGTCAATATGACCCCCTAGCTCATGCACCATATGAATATGACCCCCTAAGTCATTCTGTATCTGTAAGGAATAGGAGTACATTTATATGTGCTGTTATTTTATTATTGGTGTACTTAAGTATAAATGAAATTGATTTGGTGGGATTATATTGGGGGATAAGAATAAAATAAAGACTATTCTGTAAATACTGGTATTCTGTTTTATTTATCCATCCATTTGTTAACAAAATATTTTAAGTTTCAAATTATTTTTTGTTCAGCTATTGCCAAACATATTCCTGGAGCCTTACATTTCCAGTGTACTGACAAGGAAACACAAATCTGTTATTAAACCACTACCCTACCCTCATATTAGAGTTGTATTACCAAATTCATGGATCCCTTTATCATACAATTGTCAATTTGTTCAAATTGTACAATTTCAGTTGGAAAAGATTGCATGAAAAGAGTTTCTATTTTCTTCTAGCAATAGAGTGTGTGTGATTAATTTATTACCAGTCAATGGGACAGTAGTGGTGTTCACGTTAGAGAGCTCGGCATGTGGCGACTCAGTTCCGAGACTCGTGTCTGTGTTTACGGTTGGGACCGAGTCGGCACGTGACGAAAATAACTTTCTCGGTCCCGATAGATGCTCAGGTCCGTAACATGTGCCGAGATGTGCTGCCTAAACACTTGACAGAAACCAAAATCACGCCCTCAGTGGTGAATTTAAGAGAACATACAGATTCATACCATTATGACATGAATTGGAGGGAAGTGCATCTAGATATGGTCAGATGCTGTAATAATGAATAAATAGAATGCAAACCGTCATCAGTGATGCATATTTATGTGCTGCGGGAAACAATTGTTCTTGAAACTATAAATTGACGTGAAAAAATACTTGTTTTTCAAATCTTCTTTGTCGTTCATGTGCATGATGACTCGTAATAAATATAACAGCAAATAGATATAATTTCAATAAAGCAATTATCGTCATATGCATATTGTTTTCCATGTCTGGTTAGAAGAATGAGGGCGTGATTTTGGCACGAGCCAAGTTGTTCCCAAGTGAGTCCAGACTAACATAAATGTAACTGCTGTAATCCCTCTGCAAACCATAGGATTATAAATTTCAACTCGTGCCGAGATCCTGTAACGTAAACGCTGCATATTTGCTCAGTTGCCTCCGGCTGAATTTGTTTATTTGCACTAGCAAGGTATTTCCAATCCATTCTTGTCTTGTTTTGTATTTTTTAAACAACCTAGAAGCACACAAAACTAGTCGGGCCTCCCCTTTGGCTTAGGAAATAAAAATGGCAGTGAAGGAACCACTAGAGAACCCAAAACTGCTATTGTGCATCAGTTTTCAGTAAACTATTCCTTTGGGGGAAAAAGATTAATATGTGATCAATTGATCTCAACATGTAAAGGCCATAGTAATCACAATTTTATATAAAATAGTGAAGTAAACTGAAATGAATCAATACCTAGTATACTGTAAAATGACTAATTTTCACTGTGTTTAAATTTCACTGATTTACCATTTCAGGCATATTCAGTGGGTTTTAAATTCACGGTTTCGTCATTTAGATAATGTGTTCTATGCTAAATTTTACATATTCACTGTGTTTTAATTTAGCGCATTTTTCCAGTCAGTGAAATAAGCTAAATTAAAACCCAGTGAATAATTACCCCCTTTACAGTATTAATGTATTCAGCCATGTTGGAAATTACACTTTTCAAAAATGTTTTTTTCTAAAAGTAAATTCATGAAAATGTGGAACAGTTTCACAGTTGTCATGAAAGATGTGAGAACACTTTCATTCCAAAATGAACATTGTATGATAAGAATGTATTTTTGCTGTCTAAATATTTCACCAACCGCTGAAACCTAGATCTGAAGCCCAAGCCCAGTCATCATACATGCCATCTTGCAGAAATTCACAACTCGTATAGGACTGATCGTTATGATATTTAAATTTTGTTTTAAACACAATTTACCCATATGCTTCCCAAGGAAAGCATGGGACACATATTAAATACATTCAGTGGTGTCTTGACGGGCAACAGTCGTGTTTCATATGGCTTCCATATGACTTGTACATGGAGTGTACACAAAATTGCAGTTCAGATAAAAGCATAATACAAGACATGTCAAAAAATTTACAAACAAGATGCTTGCTGATTGGTCTGTGTGACGGTGTTAGGTAGCCAATCAGGCACAATCTTGTAGCTTTACACTGACTCCACAATTAGACAGATACTTCAACTCACACCAAACGAATATATTCAGAAACTGCAAGCACATTTGATTATTTTATTACATATGCTGCTAAAATACAGGCATGACAGTCTTCATGTGTTTAACAAGAAAATCTCTAAAATGAGAAAGAAATTTATGACTTGAAAAAAAGATTCACAATAGTCTTTGTCAATGCAACAAAATAAAGAACTCTTTATATTACAATATATAGAAGTGAATTACATGGACTAAACCATTTAAGTATGAAAATTTGTTACCACAAGCCTAAGGGAGCTACCAATCAGTCTGGTTTTGTAAACACCAAATTGCATTTTATTATAGACCTACAGTGGCATGAAAAATCACATTGAATGACATGTGACCAACTTTGTTTACATATTGAGTAAAGTGTTATTTCATTGAACACTTACCGTAATTTATCTATTAAATAGCAGAATTGTAATATCTATTAAATAACAATTGTACAAAAAAAAAATTGTATTTGACAGGTTCAGTGCTTGACATTAAATGGACGACTTTTATACAAATTCACATAGTGTATTGAAAATGAAATACACTGCAACAAAGCTTTATGTATGCCACAATATAACAATGAAGCCCAATGGTATATTTTCAATTTAGATAAGTGGCAGTTCTGGTAACCCCCCCAGCTTCACTGAAATTAACTCTTCATGCTCATGTTGCTTGTCAAAATGGCTGTGCTGGGACATGTTCACTATACAGCCAGTATTTTGCAAAATTTAACACAATTAGACATTGTGAGATCCAATCTACCACATAGCCTGAAAGATCAAACATACACGGGTATGAAAGAGTCAACAATAAAGTACAATTGGAGGGAATGGTCTTCAGTGAAGTTGTGGAGTTAACTTTCTAAGTACAAATCTTGTGTAAAGTGGGTGGGCAGAAGGAAAAAAAAAATATTGGACAGAATATACTTAAAAAAAACCTTGAAATACAAACTATTCTTTATTTTAAAAGATTTGTTCAACAGTAAATTTACGCTAAGGCTCTTATTATTGGCACCAATTTCCATCACACAACCACAGATAGAAATTGCACATTTTAAATTGGAAGTGCAAAAAAAGTAAATGACTTGAAAACTAAGTTAGTAACCTTGTAATTGTCACAATGATGGACTGGTCAATACTTTGTTCCAGTCTAGCTTTCACAAGAGACACAAACTGGGATGAAAGACAACGCATTTTTGGTCAGCTATTGACAGTGAATTGGTTGATTAAATATTACATCAAATCAACAAACGATACTTTATTTTTCCCACAAACTGAAGACTTATGCCAGCACAGTAAGTATCATTTGAATTAATCCTAATAATTGTGACATTACTGGCATCATGACCAGGCGTCAGTGGAGTGGTACATTTTGTCTAAACCTGTGCATAGATTATGTAAGAGCACACATGTAGTTTAACAGGCAGATGCTGTCACGACATGCAGTGTTACATTTGTGTACCATAGCAACTTGAGAAAAATATATTTACCCAAAATTTGAACCTGCGCTGTGAGATAACCACAAACCTTTTAAAAGACTACTCAAGGAAATACAATTATCTAGCAACAACGTGTGCTTTTCATTAATGACTAAAACCATGTTCAGTGATGTGTAGTTTTATGTCATTCTGAACTATTGCACAACCAAACAAAGTTAACATCGATAATAATTTAAGCATCAGTGTTTGGTTGTCAGAAGGTGAACTTTTTAGAAACTTAGTTTGTTGCCAGCACTACAAGTGGAATAGGCCACCTAGATTACTGTACACTATTCCTGGTCATTATAGCTAACAAAAAAACACCAGTATACAAATCTGGATTTCTAAGTGTATGACAAAATCAAATTTGGATGGACACTTTACAGATTATGAGGTACTATGTACTGTAAATTGCTTTATTTTTCAGTAGTAAAAATTCACTGAGCTTCTTTAAGACAAGAATACTGCTATCATTGGAAATTCAACAGAATGTAGGTCTACTCATGTCTTTTAAGGACTATGGGTCTACTATTGGTAATACAAAAAACATGGGATATAAATCTGTCAAGATCCCAAAGCCAAGTTTAAGACCTGTTACTGTTCTAACGAATGGGAGCTTGTTTTGTGATAAAAATATCATTACATGAAATGGTTTGGTATATCACTGGCACAGACTGAGATTGGCTCATAATACATAGACAGAAATTGCTCCTAAACTCATTTGATTAATGTTTGGAGACAATCACCAAGACACACTGGATAGGAAGATAAGATTTCTGAGTTTAGCTTAACGAAGCACTTTTAAGTTGCAAATTACGAAATTGTGAGACAATGACCGTGATTGGTTGCTGACAGTGTTGAGATAACTGATGTACATAGATCATAATTCTGTGCATGGACACTATTCCCCCCATGATAAAATAGAACCCTGCTAATGAAACAAACAGCTGAACACTTTCAAGCTGTCTGATCTAACGAAGATCTACTCATGGAATCCTGAAAGCAGTGTTTCTTCATTACAAACTTGCACTGCTAAACAAGGCAACCTTGAGTGGGAGAATAGAATGCACACAAGTACATTAAGATGAATTAATGAGGTTATACATGTGTATTAGTCACTGGGCCACATCAAGGTAAACCACTGCAGTCTCATGTTTACTGCAAAAACTGCAGAATTTGACATTTCAGGTAAATGAACTAATAATACATATATTCTGAATTTTGTAGCCTGCATTGGTGCATAAGTACAGTTTGTGGGTAATGACAAATCTGGATCTTGAGACAATGCTAGTTATTAATTGAAGTCATATATAGATCTATATGTGCAATATGTATAGATTACTGAATGACACTGCTAACTACAAAACCATGTAGTGTTTGTTATTCTACAACTGACTTCTCACACTGTAATCACCATGTAGTGTATTCCTGGCAATTTTTGTCAATCATGTAAATTCACAAAATTGACAACATTCCTTTGTCTTGCACAACAAAAGTGTTGCATATGCCTAATGAGTGAATTGCACTATGGGAGTAAAGCCATTTAGCAATGCTTCAATAATTAAGTATTGATACTGGTACATATAATTTGTCATTCAAATATGTGTTTAGGTGTTCAAGTCTTACACAGATAAGCTAAAACTATTGCAGTACTGACTCCATAAATGGTAGTTTGATTATACTAAAATACACGAAGTATCCAGATCAAAACACTGATTATATCACAATGTACAAATATACAACAATAAAAAAGGGATGAATAGTTGTTGGTGCATTTTGTCAAAAAAAAAATTTAAAGATTTTCAACTACTTGCTGTAATACTTTACATTTTAATATTTTGAATAAATATATTTATTTTTTTTGTAAAATGTCGAATTAAGACCTTATTAAATCCGTTACGTTTGTCAAATAAAGAAATATCTATCCTTCCCATCATGCCACTTCTCAAATCACACAATGTGTCAAGTCCCACAATGCACTGCAAACATTAAACTGAGCATGCTCATGTGGATGCATGCTGGGAAATCAAGGTGTATTTTTTTTACCAACATTCTATCTTTGTTTTGAATTTAACAAAAAAAAACTGAAAATAAAGTTTCATCTTTAAATTGCACCACTGTAAAGAGATATCTTTCCCCTAAAGCAGGAGTGATTTTTGAATAATCTTCACATCGTGCCCTATACAATCAACGCCTCTAATGGTTCAGTATGTCAGCAGATTTCAATTCTGAATTGCAGTATAACTAAAAAAACAAACAAAATACAAATAGAATAAAAAATATTTTAACCACTACATCACCGACTTGTTCTCGTTGCTATTACACACGATACAAAGCTTAAAAAACAGCTCATTTTGGAAATGAGTATATCAAATTTACAACAACAAAAAAATGAAATAAATTGACATTGCTTTTGAATAGGATCTTAAAACCTGTATGGTGTGTACATGTACATCTGTGAGCGATCTATATGTATAAATGCACAAACAAAGATGAGTTGGTATGCAATATAAATATCTAGTATTATATATATAACAGCTGAACAACATATAAAGCCAGGCTACATATTTGCTCTATTACTAGTGCATACACTTACATAAATTATAAAGGCCTTTCTATGTTCAAAATAAGTGATATTTTAATGATTCAAAATACTACAAATGTGATTTATAGTTTACAAAGGCTTCCATTTTAGATGCACTTCTAATATGGTATCAGTCCTCCCTCACAATCCATCAATAATAAAATCTCCAAAATATTTGATGTATATACTACAATTATCAGCCATTCTACTGATTTCACAACACTGATTTGGTTTTAGTTATTATACTGTAGACTGTTTGAAATAAAGAAGAGTATGTATGCATCCTGTGTTGTAGTACAAGTTTAAAACCTTGAATTTGCACTCTGAGGAGTTATTAATGTGTATTTGGACTAGTTTGTGCCTGGGCTTGAACTCACCATTGTGACATATCGAGACAAAAGCTTCTAAAAATGCCTTTACACTGTCGACTGATTGAAATTGTCAAGAAAGTGTTTTGAAAGAACACCAAAACATTCTGGTGAAACCATTCAGGTAATGGTTTATGTGCATTGAACACATTGCAGTTTGCATATGGATACATAGGTCAATAGTCACTCTATGTGTAACAGTCAAACCACATCAGTAAATGAACAATGAATCAGTATCCTCGGGGGCGGAGCTACGTCACG